ACCTCAAAACATAACAGATTTATTGTCAGTGTATCAACCTCCCAGACCACTCAGGTCATCTAGTTCCAGCCTTCTCTGTTCACCCAGAACTAGAACTAAACATGGAGAAGCAGCATTTAGTTCCTTTGCTCCACTTATCTGGAACAAACTCCCAGTAGACTGTAAAATTGCTGAAAGCCTGAGTTCATTGAAGTCATTGTAGAAAATCCAATGGTTTACACCTGCCTTTGACTGTTGAAGTTAAACTGCTATCTGAGGTGTTATTAGTTCACGCTTGTGGTCTAATTGTTTCACTACCTGCTTTTCTGATGTTTTTTTTTTTCTATCTTTATTTGCTTTGTTTTTTATTTGCTATTCTATTGTCCAATTCATGAAAAGCACATTAAATTGTCCGTGTTAGCAGAACATTGATGTAATTTTGCACACATTTGTAATAGAAAGGCAACCAGTGCTTCTAACTATTTCTTTTATATCAGATTTATACCAAAGAGGCGTGACCAGGGTCTCTATTGTTGCAGCAAAAAGAAGTGGGGGGAGCAGACAGCAGCCTTCACCTCTTTTTGCTCTAACAATAATGCCACACTGGAGATGAGAAAACCTTGAAATATTATTGTTAGTGCAGACAACAGCTAGATGTGGAGAATAGAGAATTTCTATCTTACAAAGTCAAAGTCAAAATGTCCCAAAGAATTTTAAAAAATGACCCGACTTCACTCAATCAGAATCATTTTTAGCATTAAATGTTGTAATTACTTCTGTCTTGGATCAAATCAGATTAGAGGGAATATTTAAAGTCTCTGTATGTTTGAGGACAGTTGATGTTTTTAGATTAATCCAGTCTGATCATCTTAGATCAAGTTTTTTAAGCATCAAGAAAGCATTTATGCACGGATTTTACCGTCCACATTTAGGAGTGATGTAGGATTATAAAATCCACATTCCAGTGGACTTTTATCCTTTTTTTTTAAAGATGAGAGGAATTGTCCTCTGTATCATGTAGATATGTGCCTATTCTGGTATCATGACAACCTAAAGGATCATATCACAGTGTTATGGTTACAGCTGCCGTTAGTTTGAAATGTCTGAATTTAGAAAAAATAAATGCTTGTTAGCTTCATTTTCTTTGCATTTAAGGTCTTTTTTAATTATTATTTGTTATATGATCTTTGATTCTTAGCAGCTGACTATCTCCTTTTCTGTTTGTAGGTGACCACATATCACATCTATATGGCCTTACAAAGTGATTGTCATGTGACAGTGACAAAGTCCAGGCAGCATCAGCTGAACCCAGATTCTCAGTCCCCCATAGAGATCCTGACGCTGAGGGTGGAGAGCATCAACCCTGCAGTCAGACCATTCGATATCTGGTGGGATTACTTCACTGGCTAAATTAAAAAATATATTTACAGTGAACCCTCGCTATAACGCGGTTCACCTTTCACGGCCTTTCTGCTTCACGGATTTGCATTGCTCATTGTGTTCTGCATTCTGATTGGCTAAACATTCTCCATGCTTTTCTGCCAATAATGTGTCAACAACCTTACAGTTTAATATTTTAATATACATGTACATTTACCTAAAACAGCTTGCCAAATTTAAGTGTGCCAGTTTCCCTTAAAACCACTCATGTCAACGAAACGTCCTGCACAGATAAAGGCACTTGCGGACGGGCCCAAAAGGCAGCGAAAGAGGCTGTAGATTGCAATTATGGAATGAATGAATCTTCCGTTGTTCCAGAAAGAAAGAGGAAAATAACATAGGGACGACAACATCCATACGAGACCACGGTATGGATGGAGTCTGCATTAGCTTTGTAAATTAAAGGTAATGTGCAGGATTTTCGTGATTTTTAAAAAAAACACCTGCCCTCTCTACTTGCAAAAAAAAAAAAAAATGCACATACACAACCCTGTACCTGCTCTCGAGAGGGAAAGCGTATTAAATGCGTGCAATAGCGTGCCTGAGCCCATTTCTCCTCGTGCAGGCGCTGTTTAAAATGTTCTGTCTCATAGCTCATACTAGCTTACTGTGTCCGAGCGTTCGCCCTAATCCCTAAATCCCTTAATCACTATATGTAGCGCGGACTATGTAGTGGACTTTATCGCAAACTCGGTTAACTGACCATTCGGACAGATGATCACTGTTTTTTGCTCCCCGTCGGTCACCTAACTCGTCCTACACCGCACCGTGTCTGCGCCATCTTTGTTATTAATCGCTAAGTAGCAACAGCCTCTGGCGACAGCGGGCCACTGTGACAGGAAATCCTATAATGCATTCCGGGATATGTCTGCCTCTTCTGAGGCCTTTCTTTTCTTCTCATAGACTTCGTCTCTTACGACCCTCGACCATTTTCAAAGAACCGTAGTGAGAAAGGTGAGCTACAGTGAGTGTCTGAAACTGTAGCTCACCACAGATATACGTCTGAAAGCGCGCATGCGCAGAAAAAGATAGCTAACTGGGGACCAGAACGTAGGACAGCCTTACGTAAACGTATCACCAGAATGATTGACAATTATCAGGACCACTTATTTAGATGATCCACCCGGAAATAAAAGACCACCACTATTCCTTCAATGACTGCAGAAAAAAAGAACATTACGCTGGATATGAACATTGTCTGCACTAAAGCTAGCACACTTTATCAAACTTACAGCGATGACGTTCATGACAGGGAAGACACCGAGCCATCAACCAGGGCTGTTCACGCAGTAAAAAGCGCATTTAATGCCATCTTAGCAAGGGCTGGTTTGAAAAACTTAAGAAACACTTTGAACTTAAAAATGTTTCCCTGCACAGAGAGACCTTGTGTGGGAACACCGCTGGAGCAGAAGCGTTCGTGAACAATACATTTAAAGCCATCATTAGGGAAGGAGGATATATGTCTGAACAAGTTTTTAATAATAATTGTAAAAAAAGAAATGAAAGGTTCCTACTTCATGGGTTTTTTGGAACGTAACCCCTGCGAAAACGAGGGTTCACTGTAAACACATATTCCACACAAAATGAATTCATTTACAATTTGAATCCTTTTTTATTTTCTGTTGTTTCAGTCTCAACTCAACAGATTATGCAGATTTCAGGCAGAAGCTCCAGTCTCCCATCAGAACGTCTCCCAACGTTGTGATCCACCAAACATTCAGTGAGCTCTTTCTGGAAACCTTCAGAGCTCAGGTGGAGCTAAATCAGCCATACATCCTCCCCAGCGGTCAGGTAGTTTTCTGCATTTGTTTGCATCTTTTTTTAAATCGTTTTTTCTTTAACCGCTGTCAAGAGTTGTAAGCAAATGCAACGTACGTCTGCAGGAAGTAGAGCCCTGTATCGGCTGCATGCAAGTTCCAGCAAATACCAAGTTGGTTAGACTCTGCCAAACAGCAGGTGAGAGCTTGGATAAAGGGAGGGAATTACTTCTGCTGGAGAAATATCATTTTCCTTCATATGGAGGGAATTTTGTTCCATTATTCCAGCAAACAGAGACACGCTTTGTAAATGAAAAATTGAAGAAAAATGCCGTCTAGAAATGAAACTTAGAAAAACTTCTTACATTTTAGAAGAATTGTGTTCTATTCTCAGATTTTATTTTATAATATTTTTTAGGTTTTCATATTTTATAAATTTTACTTTTTTAAACAGTTTTTATAGTATTATTTAAATTGATATTTTTTTCAGATTTAGTTTTAGGAATTGCATTATTTTTTAGACGTTCTTTTTACGTCTGCAGGCGGGCTTTCCTCTAGAGCAGAGGTCACAGATTAGCAGACCGCGGTCCGAGTCCGGATCCACCGGCTGGCTAATCCGGACCCAACCTGATTTAAAACATATATAAATGACTTCATGTTGTCTGAGGACAGTGTCTAAAGGTCACTTGCGCCGCTTCTCCTGTTACCCTAAAATCCAACATCCTCCATCTCCGCTCCAGACCTCCTGCGCAAAGCAAAGCCTGCAGACTTATCCTCAGAGCTCGAGGAGAGCATGCGCGATATTATCAATAAATTAAGGAGCAAAACATGCAGAAATGAATGCTTAATTTAATATGACATATTAAATAATCCCCATCAGCATCCAGCATATGTGCGGTTTCTGATGGAGATGAGAAATCTGCTTCCTGGTCTGTTGAAGAACCAATAGTTTGCATCCAATCTTTTAAATAAACAGTGTTTATTGAATAAGAATTATGCAATGATTTGTAGCTACCAATCTGTTGTTACTATGTTTTAATTTGACAAACCGGGTCTTCTCGCCGTTCTTTTTCCTTTTTGGTGCAATTGCAGTAGCGGATCTTCTTGACCTGGCCGGACCGGAGCGGAGTCTGAACATTTAGAGTATGTTTGGCTCAACCTGCTGCTGTGAAGCAGGATTCTCCACCATGAATCAAAAATAAATATGGATCCAGGCTCAAAATGAGCTCCTTCATATGTGCTTTAGAATGGCTTTGTCTCCATTCAAACCCAGGTTTAAAGCCTTGCAGGGCAGCATAAAGCCCACTGCTCTCATTAAGACAAAAAATAGAAAAAAACAAACAAAAAAGAAAACGGTCAGTTCAGGTGTTTTATGAAATATGGGAATCAGGAAATTGTCTATATATCAAAAGCTGAAAGATTGTTGTTCTCTACTTCAAAAAACACTTTAGATTTTGAAATTGAAAAGTTATTTTTTTTTACATTTGTTTTATATAGAAGTTCAATGTATAACATGGATGCATAAATACCTCTTTTTTTTTTTTACAGCGTTAAATTCTGTTTAAAGTAGCAGATAATAATTAAAAATATCTCCGGATCTTTACTGGTTGATGATTTTCTTAAGTTGGACCTCGCTGATTTTTAATTGGTTACCCCTGATCTAGAGTGAAGAGCAAAGATTCGTTTCTATTGGTCTGCTGGCCTTTAGCAACAACATTTTTATTGGTCCATATTTTAGGAGACAAATGTAATCAAATGTTTGCGCTTTGAGAGCAAACATTTTTTATTGGGCTTGAAGTGATGAGAATATTATTGGTAAAACACAATATAAAAGATTGCGACTTGTAAAATTCTATCTATAACGAGAAATTTGACTAAATTAAAATGTGAAAATGTAAAATCTGTAAAAAAAATAAATAAATAAAAAAATCTGTTAAGCAAAGTTACTCCTTTCAGGATTGTGCATTTTTTCCGAGCTTGTTTAAAAAATGTGTATTTGTTTGCAGAAATGGAACAATATTTACTCCATATATTTTTAAAAGACAAAGAGTATCACATTTACAGTCAAGGTTTAAGATAAAGGCTCTTTATCGGAGCCTCACATTAAATTATTGATGTTTTTCACAAGGTAATGAAAACACTTTTGTTCATATTGGAGTCTGTTCTTCCTCTAATATCAGTCTGTCTTCACTGCAGAAATGGAAAACGAGTCGGAGTGCCAGCAGTGTTTTTGCAGGCCCATGTGGTGCCTCTTTTGTTTGGGTCGATGGTTTGCCAGCCGCCAGGACCAACAGAGACTGGAGACGTGGTTGTCCAGCAAGGTCCCCTGTCCTACATGCAGAGCCAAATTCTGCATACTAGATGTTTGCGTGGTCCGCTGACCAGACCCACAGACAATGCTCTTTTAAGGACTTCTTCCTCTCAGATCAAACCACATCTGTTTTTTTTCTTTCATCAAGATAAAAGCCTGTAAAGCAGGGCTGAATCGAATGCTGGTTCCTTTAGATAACTCATGAACTATGAATGCAGTCTTCTGTCTTAAATGATCTAAAAGGCTGGAAAAGCAAACAATACTATTATGTGTCAGCTGAGACAATGTTGATAAATACGCCAAAAATAAAGAAAATTACAAAAATCAATCTAAAACCAAAATGTCTTTTAAGCATTGTAATATTTCATTCCGATTGCAGCAGTTTTTATGATTATCATAGATGTTTCTATGTTTTCTAAGGGCTTCTTATATTCTCTCTGTTTGCGTCTCTTTCCTTACCACACTACAGTTTGTGTTCTTTTAACCCGAGCAGCCATGTCAGTTCTGTGAAAAACATTATGAAACAGGCGGATCCAATTTAAGAATGAAAATGTGAGTAAAATAGAATAATCAGTTTTGTTCAAACTAATTAAATCTGAGAGGTGATGGACTTGCATAGAGGTTCTGTTCCAGTACCAAAGACTCCATTAGCCTATAGACCTATAGACTATAGACCTGTTGCCCTCACATCCCACATCATGAAGGTGGAGACACTCTGTTGGTTCACCTCAGCAAACAAAGGCTATCAGGACCCCCTCAGTTTGCTCATCACCGTGGAGTTGGAGATGCAATCATATACCTGCTTCAACAAACCCACTGTCATTTCTGGGGTTATCAAGGCAGACAGCATTGTGAGATCACAGCGTTTGATTTCTCCAGTGCTGGTGAAGATTCTCAGTCATCCAGGGGTCTGTTTCACCAAGCAGGTTTACCTGAAAACAGGGAAACTGACTTGTTTCAGTCACCATAGTAACATTCTCCCCAGGGCTAACCTGGTCAGTAGGTTTTCTTCGGTAAACTGGGAGTATCCTCTGTCTCCGCTCTCCTTACAGCCAATCTCACTGTTTTATTTCCTGATTTAGTCAGATTTTTATTTTAGTTTTCTGAATAAATATATCTTTCACTAGATTCGTTACACACATTAGGGTTTTTTTTTTTAAATGGCGTTCGTTTGGCAAGGCTCTTTTTAAAAATTGATCGGCACTTTTTCACAGAGAATTAAATATTTATAAGTAGATGATTCTACAACTGACAATTGACGGGGCATTAGATTATATGTTTTTGTTTTATTTATTATGTGTGAGATCTGGATATTTTTTTTGATTTAGT